CCGCTGTGACAAGGCGACGGTTGTTGTGCTGCAGGAGCACATTACGCATCAGGCATACAGGACCACTGTGGTCCAATCGTATGCGGTGTAGCGGGCCTCGCGGTGAGCGCTGGAAAGGTGGTATGGTGTGATTTGCCTTCTGCAGGTTGCATAAGGTGCATTGCACATGAAGAGTTGCCTTTGCAGCTGAGGCGCTGTCAGCAGCTCTCTCTGGGGTTACTGTCGTTTTGGCGGATCACCCCCTTTCGCAGTGCATCTCAACAGGGCCTTCCTCGATTGCAACCACCCTAGCCAAGGCCACGTCCTGAGCTGCGCACCCCGTTGTCGTCTCACCAATTTTGGAGGGAAGTGACAAGAGTTGCACATCAGGGAATGGAGCGCGCTTCTCAAAAGGACGAGACCACAAAGTCTTCTCAAAATCCATAACCGCCTTGTCATGACACGGGACCGTCAGCCCAGGTGCAACTCGCCACGTACCCGACGCCCACATAGGAGGAAGAGATGTTCTGCAGGGATGTCGACACAATCCGCTTGCAGGTTCCGGAAAGAAAGCATGCTGAACCTACTCGCCAACAATGGCCCAGAGAACTAAGAAATCGCAGCGCGTCCAACCGCAGAATGGAGGGGAGTACAGGAATGACCCGCCGATGCATGGCATCTTCACACAGTGCAAGCGGAACAGGCGCCTGCAAGCTCTGGGGCTGGCGCACGTCGCTGCAGGACCTGCTCACGTCTGCGGCACATCACCGCAACAACCTCTTCTGCCGAGCAAGGGAGGTCTTGCGGTTGCAAAGGGTAAGCAACAATCAGCCCTGCGTTGGACTCTGTGTTTTCGGCTCAGTGAACTGAAGCATACCAATGCGGGAGCTCAGCGTACTGAGGTCAGTCTGTACCCTGGCATGGCTTAGAGGGTAGTATGGAGTTCCGGCCGATGTGGTGGTACGCACAGGTGCTGCTCAGGGCTGTAAACCGTATGGCCCTGGCAAAGGCCAGGTGGGCGCTTGGGAAAGCGGCTGAGGAAGTCATGGCTTTTGCATCTGCCGCAAGTAGCCACAACTTTTTCTTGCTGACGACGACCTCTCATAAGGCCGTCTTGTCAGAGGGGTTCTCGGAGTGCTGACGCCGCGCATTTGGTGGTGATGGTGGCCCTACCACGCATCAGTGCTGCCCCACTTCCGGACTTGGCACTGATATCCTGTCAGCGACCGGCCCCCGCGGACGCGGTGGTGACTCACGGGCGCTAAATTTATAGCGGGTACTCTGCAGGCAGCTATTCGGCTGCGTGGCTTCATGTGGTTGCAAGTCGGCTCGAGCTGTCTGGTGAGACTGCAGGACTGGGAAAGCAACTGGTCTGGACACTGCTGCTTCATGGCGAGGGCACGGGGCGTCAGGCACGGCATGAGTACAGCCACCTCCTCTTCCTTTCTCAACGCTACTCTGCGCTCTTCAAGACTTTGGCGCGAACCAAGGTGGAAAGCCATCCTCAAGGAATTCCAGCACGGGAGGACCGCGGCGTCTACTACACGGAAGCTGGTGGAGGATCTCAAAGAGGGGCGACGATTGAGAAGCCCGTGGACGGAGAGAATAGACCATTGGTCGCGGAGACAACATCACGGCGTGGACACGCAGTCATGGCCCCTATGACGTTGGGCACCGGGTGACTTCTGCAAGTTCAACTGCCAAAGAGCCGCCAACGACCTCATGGACAAGCGCCAGCCCTTCATGGCCGTGATTGCCTTTCTATGTGGACCCTGGACCCGCTACAGCATCTTGGAGGAGGAAGCTCATCGGAAACGTGCCAAACTTCTGGTGGACCATGTCTTTGATCAGTGTCAGTTTGGTCTACGTGGAGGAGGTCTACATTGGAAGCGGACTATGGTGCTGACCTCTTCTTCCGAGGTGGCAGAGAGGTTGAAAGACCACATGTGTGATGGTGGCCACGGACATGAGCTGGTGATTGGCGGGAGCAAGGTCACTGAACAAGCTGGGCGCTATCCCAAGTCGCTCGCAAAGGCCATTGTCACTGGGGCCGAGAAGCAGTTCGAGAAGGACATGAGGTTCTGGCCTTGGAAGAGGACGGATAGGAACCCAAGCTGGAAGAGGAGCTTCAAGCTGAGGGAAGAAGGCAAGAACAGCGTGAGCGCTGGGTGGACTCCAGCCTGGATGTGGAGGATGACATCGAGGTGACGGGGAGTGAACCTACGAGAGAGCGACTACAGGCAGTGCAGAGGCTGCGCGAGAACATGGGACAATCGAGCACCGCTGTGCAGGGAGACGTGCCGCCCGGGGACGAGAAGGCCAGCAGAAATTCGCCGACCGCAACATTTTTGGGGATCAAGTCCACGTGGACTTGGTGGCGGTGGAGGACAGCAGGAGTGCGACACATTGGGTGGCTGGTGAAGTTCATCAACCGGAGTTGGGTCTCGGTGTTGGGAGCACTGAAATGCGACCTATGGCACTCAGTTGGAGAGCATCCTGGATCAAGGAATCAGGACAGGAGCTGGAAGAATTCATGTTCACCTTGCCTGTGTCGACGGCATCATCCAAGGCAGCGCTGACTCATGTGCCTACAGGCTACAGGACGTGATGCACTCGTGATCCTTGCCTTTAGCAAGGACAATCCGTACGCTTTCCGACTCTCCGAAAGACTTCCGATTGGACTGAAGAAGCTGAAACAAGTCATTCACGGACATCCTTGATCCCTGATGCAGCTGTCAGATCGCCCCTATGTTGATCACCTCGAGTCGCATGAATTCACTTCATCCTTGACGCTCAACATGCTCACCTTAAATCGCGGAAACCTCACGAGGAATCTGAAGTTGGACAGCCAGGAAGTGAAATACATGTCGATGAAGGAAAGGCCACTCATCATGATGATGTTGAGAACAGTGCCCGCATCATCTGCCTCAACGAAGCCGTTGCCTTCTTTTATCCGGAAGATGAGAAATTCAAGGACCTCATCAAGCTGTTCATCAAGCTTGGCTACAGGGGCACGTTCTCAAATCCTGGTCAGCAAAACCAGTCGCATGCTTTGTCCGCGGCGGAAAGCAAGCCAGAGTCGAACTATTGGCGCGACACATTTCCACCAAGAGCCAATACTGGGGTACGACATGTGGAATGTTCAGGTGCTATTTTGGAGTCGAAAATAATTGCGCTGATCCCGACTACGATACTCCCACATCCGGCTGCTTGGCAACCACCGGACCGGACATCGACCGGCAGAAGTACATTGGAAGGATGCGTCGCGCACCAAAGCCCAAGGACACGGCAAGCACACAGAGATTGTTGTCAGCCACACCGAGTTCAACAATGAGATGCGCGGCGCCTTTCCGAAATCCATGGAGACTCCAACCACATACTTCGGCAGCCGCCGTGTGGCGTGTTCCACGTTCATCCGAACAACACCCATGGCGCAGCACGGGAAGATATCCAATCAGGAATCATGCCCCGAGTACCAGTGCGATGCGATTACAGGTATGCAAATACGCTTCAAAATGTCTACAATCCTGACCAAGGCCTCATCAACTACATCATCCAGAAATATCAGAAGATGACCATTGCGGACCAATGGCGACATCCTGCACCATGAAGTCAAGACTGGATCTGGGTATGACGAAACATTTCCTGATTTCCTGACTGTGTGATGACATTTGTATTTGGATGGGGAAAGACAGACATCCAACGAGAGTTCCGCAAGTCAGAGATTGGAGATTTGACTGAAGCACAACTGACATCCACGCAGGACGACTTTGAAAAGGTCATCGCCGACTACCAGGTCTCATCCAACGAACGCATCAAGCAAATCACCAACGAGATGCTGATGTTGGGTCACTGTGATTCCGATTCGCACAGCCCATTGATGGTCTACATCCGAAGCCGTGCAGCAAATCGGGAGAGAAACTATTCTCGGACCAACAATTCATGAAGAGCAAGAAACAAGAGACAGCGTGGAAGCCATGTATACTCGTACGAAGATCAGGGATGAAGGCATTACAGCAATTCTGCCTGGAGAGATTTCGATTACGGCAGTCAATCTGACAGCAGCTACCATTGGTACAAGAAGAAATGATAGGCTATTGCGACTGCCTCCTTTAGCAACCATCCAGACCTCCTTTGGTCATCATGATTTGCCAGGACGAAGATTCTCAGAAGCTCGATTGCGAGAGTTCGCACGAAAACGTCACAACGAATCACGACCAATTGATCCTCCTCGACGACAAGACTATTTGCAGTGAGAGATCAATAGTTTCACATTGATCCCGCATGTACAAAGCGTTTTGCATCCTCTTTTGATACAGCTAGGTATCTCGCGTCAAGAGTACAAACCGTTTTCCAGTTGTCACCAAGACTTTTCATCCGCGCAGCAAAAAGGGTGAATCAAGTATTTCAATGGCTACGGCGTAAAACAAAGGCCAAGAAGCCAGAAATTGCATAGTAATTCAGTGCTGGAGATCAAAAGAAATTTGTGTCTGTTTTGTGTTTGATTGATACCTTGATCTCCATGCAGCGGTCTACCATTCATGCGATAGTTACATAAAAAGGACTTATTGCAGGCCGCTTACAGTGAAACACAATAATCAAATCAATCAGAGCCACGAGGGACTATCCATTCCTTTTCAGTGCGGAATAGATCCAGGGACCACATATACCATCCTCTACTACCACAAGGTTTCCGTTCTCTTCTGGGATAAGATGTGTTCAGCAGTGGGGCTCACCCCCCCCGCCCCACACACACACACCCACCCTCCCCCCCCAAAACAACAACACCCCCCCCTTGTTCGAACCCTCCCCGCCCCCCAAACAACACCCCCCCACTTGTTGGGGCGGGACAAACCCCCCCACCCCTGCTTATCGAAGCTGTCTCCAGCTCTGACTCGTTTGTTTAGTCTTGCGACATCTCAGTTGGCAGCGTTTAATCTTAGCTTCCCCTTAAAACATATCTTCTAAAAAGGTAGCCCTAAACAAAAAGAGAGCGATTCCAAGCGGCTGGTCGCGTTGAGGCATCGGGTGAGCTTGCCACCAACGCAGGCACGGCTACGCCCCCGTTTGGGGGTTTCTCAAATCGGTCGCTTAGAACGGTTGATTTTTGCTCTTGTTTTTTCAATCAAAGGGGTTCCACTATTTTGAGAAACACCCAACAAACATTTGCGTCCTTTAGTGGTGCGGGTAGTGGCGTGCACCCAACGTTTTTTTCCTCTTGTTCCGCGTGATGTTAACCTTAGACTCCCGAGGAAGCCAGAACCCCCGTGAAACAGGACCTTTTCCAGAAGTGTCCCCAGAAGATCATTGACTCTGAGCACAGCACCATTTTGCACGGCGTTACTTCGTGCTTCCGAGAGGGTTTTGGCCCCGGACTTGTTGGACTGTGGGTTTGTTCGCCCCTTTTGGGTTTCGGCCTTCAAGCGAGACGAATCTGCGGGTTTCTTCTCAGAGGTGTCGAAGGAATGGGCTTGGTGTGACCCGGCTTCGAGCACAGGTGCCGCCTGCGCAGCTCGGAGATGCAGTTTGCGGTTTGCGGTTTGGTCAGTGGAGGGTTTGCGACTTTGTTTTCGATTTGGGGAAAATTTGGAATTGAAAAGGACCCAACCATTCTCAGAGTCTTGTTTTGGCACATCAACTTGACTGACATTTTTAGGTTCGCATGGGCTGGAATTTAGAGATGTCAGTTTTAGTCCGCGAAGTTCAGCTAGGTTTGCCGTGGTACGGTCTGAAATGCCTTGAGCTTCATGCCCCCGCATCCAGCAATGCAACTTGTGTAAGCATTTGGAACATAAACACGAGCGTCGGGTTTGAACCATGGTCAGCGTTTGATATCCCCGGAAACCATATCTTTGGACTTGCCTCTAGGGCATGGTCCTTGCCAGTGAGGAAGCGCTTGTGCCAACAGAGGAACAGCTGGAAATGACAAATGATGGTTGAAACGTGTTGCCGGATCTTGATCCAACAACACACTGCATCAGACACATGAATTTAGACAGGGACATGGAATGGGGGAACCCTGAAGATTCATGGTTTCCCTTTGATGTGCTTTCAAACTTGCCCCAAAATGGTACCAGGGAAAGTCACCCCGGAAAACAGGGCACCCAATATCAATATGGTGCGTTTCCATGCTCTCCATATCAAGCATACCATGTACGGGTGAGCGGTGCAGGCACCGCTCACATGTCCGCACCGCCAAAGGATGCGCCGCTGCCGGATTTCATGGCTCAGTCCAGCAAGCAGGGCGAAGGACCCATATTTCCCTTTGTGCTGTCAACCATCACCCACCATTCAAGGCGAGTTTCCCTTGCTAGTGTTGTTTTAACAGGAACTGTAGGGAACCCTGCAAGCCTCCAGAAGGTCCTATACTCTTAGGGCAGGCCAAATATGGAACAGTCGGGAAAACCTATTTTCCGTTGTACCCCACATGTGCGCCAATAAAACGTCAGACGTCCGAAAGGGAGCCAGTTGACACCATTTGGAAGAGATTGAGATGTTGAGATGCCCACTTGCTCGTAGTCAGTTTGGTGGCTTTGTTTGGCCTTCTTCGACCGACCGAACGTGTTGTCTCTTTTTTCTTCTATCTTTCTTTGGGGGGGCTTGCCGCATGTTTGATTGAACCAAGCCATTTTGGGGGTTCCCCCATTTTATGAGTCACAGGGTTGGGTCAAAACATGGGTCCGCGGGCGGAATCGCAGGAGTTGCCGCCCTCTTTGATTAAGGCCATTGCCGGAGTGTTTGTCAGACGGCTGACCGTGGAACGTGCAATGGTCTCGAGAATGGGCAGTGGCAATAGTCTTTTATTGGTGGTATCAGTCCGAGGTGGATGGGGGCCGGTTTTGTGGATCCCTTGAAAGCCGACCGAGAGTTTCACAGACATGTCCAACATATTTGCTTATGGGCAAGCCGTCTCTTGACTTTCAAGATGTGAGTGTTTCCTCGAACCACCCCCCCTCGGCCAAATGAGTCATCTTGGTTTCCTTTTCAGCCCGCAAAGGGTGTGCCGCCTCATTTTGGGGCCCAAGCGCCATGCCAACTTTGCGCCAGGCGAACGCTGCCCCCTCAGCTTCCGGGAAAAAAGAGAAGGCTATGTCAATGTGCTTTTTGGGGGGGGGGGGGGTAGATGAGGTATGAGAGCAATCAATCATTGACTGCCCCTCCCCTTTGGTTCTTTGCATGATTTTGGTTCTGACTCGAATGCCAAGAGGAAGCCGAACAGCTTGAAGGCTTCTTAAGAGGCGCTGGATGATCCATACATCGAGCATGGGTTTGGCTCACAGGGCAGCACAAGTGTTCACCATTATGTCACATTTCAGGGCGGACTCAATATGAAACACAATCAGACAGCATGATCTTGGCCAAGATGCAGTCCCTCAACAGGGCCCTCATTTAGTTCGCAAGTATGCGCATGGCCTGGAAGTGCATCCGAGGAAAAAAACGGTCAAACTGAGACACCCACTTATCCACCTACCCACTTATCCACCTACCCACCTCCCCACCTCCCCACCTACCCACCTACCCACCTACCCACCTACCCACCTACCCACCTACCCACCTACCCACCTACCCACCTACCCACCTACCCACCTACCCACCTACCCACCTACCCACCTACCCACCTACCCACCCACCTACCCACCTACCCACCTACCCACCTACCCACCTACCCACCTACCCACCTACCCACCTACCCACCTACCCACCTACCCAGCCGCAGTGACCTGCCCGGTCTGCCCATCTATCTTCCTGTGTGTTGGCCGCCCCGAGTGGATGGCATGGGCGCAGGCGAGCATAAGGTAGACGTCGGGGCGTGGGAAACCTAGGCATCAGACACCACAACGGATAGTTTCTAGGGGTTCGCTCATTCAGCAAGTTGAAGCATTGGAATCCAAGCGGACCTTTCACCTTGTGACCTTTGACGATTTTTCATCATGAAATACGTGCCGCCTTTGGGGTAAGGAGTGACATTTGCTGCTGCATTCAGCTGGAGCAGTCCTGGGACGGGTTATTATGCTGTAGATTGCATTTGTGAACTCTGCAACGAAGTTTTTTCTTTTGAAAAAGCAGCCAGACGATGTTTGTTTTAAATATGTGTGGAAGACAACATAGAGCACGCAGAGTTTGGGCAGCATGAGGCACGCTAACGAAAGGAAACAAGCGGCAACTACAGTTGATTCCCCAAATTTGGGTAGGCCGCCCCCAGACAAGGGGTGGCTTTCCTTTTGGTGTTCGTTTAGACAGCCCCCAAAGTTGTACTGTCGAAAAAGAACACATACAGTAGTACAAGTAGAGCCCGAGTTCACAACAGACATCGCTGAGGGTGCCAAGGGAAGCCACATTGAGGTTAGTAAGGGTGGTCATGGACCTTTTAGTAGGGTTTCAGTACAAACAAAACAACCGGGGAGACTTGTCATTGGATGGAAGATGTTTGCATGGGATACCGCAAGGAAAAGCCACCATTTGCAGGGTCCCCCTGTTTAGACATATACCCACCTGGGTGTGTCTTTATTTTCAATTGAAGTCGCGAGGCCCCCCATGCGCTCTAATTTTGAGACCAAATGTAAAGTCTCCAAAACAGTATGTGGGTCTGTCTCAAAATCTCAAAATAGGGTTCCGAAGCCATCGGGATGGTTTTGAAGGGAACCCGAAGCCAACCAGGAGGGGACCCTATTTTCTGAGAAACATTCATCTCCTGTTACATCCTTTGTCTCAGTTGCCCAAAGCCAACCTGTTGGCCTTTTGGCTTCCCGGCTTTGGTCCATATTTGGTAACTCCAACAGTTTAACATTTGGGCAAGTGGCCGTGGGTCAACACCAATGGTACCATTTTGGGGTAGGTTCACCAGGGGATTGGGATGCTCACTGCGGGTACGATTTGGGTTTGATCCACAGCCAAGTGACTTGGGCGGTGCTCGGGACCAGCTCCGCTCAGTGCGGCACCGCGCGCCGGGGCTGCTGCAGCTGCGGGTGCTGAGGCCGCTACCAAGGCGCGCTGAGGAAAGGGCGGGGCCTTGATCGAAATGGCTGTGGCGCAAAAACGGCATGGCACCTTGGGAAATGGAGCCAGAGACTAGAAACTAGAAAAAAACCTGCGTAACCCCGGCTCTGAACAAGATTGAGTGAGGCCCAAACCCCAAATGGTCGGTTTTTCTTTGGTTCCCTTTAGGCCTATCTAAAAGGGGGTCAACAAATCACGCAAACCCGTTTGGCGAACAGGTGCTCTTTTTCCCGCACTCGAGGTCTGGGATGTCGAGAAACAGGCCTCGTTTTCAAGGAAGATTTGTTTGTTGGCAGCTTTATTGGCTGGTAGAGTTTGGCTTTGGCTCGAGAGCCTTTTTCATGTCGGGCAAAATCAGTTCCCAGATGATTTTGGGTAAGCCTGGCTGGGCGAATGGCCAGGGTTCCGAAGAAACGGGGCTCGCATGTCGGAGTATCGCGGCGGTCTTTTTTGATGGACGGCGGAAGGAGTTGGATGCCTTTTCTTGGGGGTCTGTAACGCAAACGTGAAACTCAGAGAGATCCCCATTACACGTCCTCGCGGCCAACGCACGAGATGCTTCAGAAGAGAACTATACAGAGTGGTCCTGCCGTTTTTGACTCCTTTGACAAACGAGCTCCGCACTGGCTTGCGCAAACACTTGTCCAGTCGTGGAAGTAAAAGATCCTTATTTTGGGCATGTGCTGCGTAGCTGATCCTGGCAAGCCGCGCCAGGCAGGCAGATGCACCCGCAAGTGCTTGCCTTGGCATCCGCAGCATGCATCTTGCCGGTTCGCAGTTGGGATCCCCTTAAGAGGATGCCACAAGCGATGATTCATAGGGGTCATCTCCCTCCCGCTCTGAGAACCAGCAAGTCATACAGGAGTACTCATGGGCCACATTCCCTTCTTGGCTACCTGAACCAAACATGGCTGCCATTCTGAAATGGTTTCCTCTAACTATTGATATTCACAGCTTCAACACAGAAAGAACCCGAACAAAGTGTCTCGATGGTATTGTGGGGTTCGCTATGTCCGATGCTTCTGGCTCGCTCGCCAGCCCCGAAACCCCTCGGGAGCGGACATGCGCGTGACTTGGGCGCTCTTGCTGCCCTTTGCATGGAGCCAAGAGGACAGCCATCCGGATGACCCCCTTAAAATCAGCTACCAACAAAAGCTGTGAAAAGACTGCCGTTTTTCTCCCATCGCTTGAGGTTTGGGTTCTTCCATGGGCCGGTACCGGTGTCCGGGTGTTTCCAAGAAATCCCCCGTGTCCCTTTGGATGGTGTTTGAGGCAAACCAAAAGTATGGCCGCTCACTGCAAGGGGTGCTGTGCTTTCGGCTCGTGGTCTGTAAGGTTTAGCCCGTTGCTCATTTCCGCAATGAGTCCGAAATGGGAAATGCAGCAACCCGCTTGCACGAACATGGAGCACACACACACAAACGAAAAAGCGTGCGTAAAGCGAGCGTGCGCAAGCGCGCACGCACGCGCCCACAAATGCGTGCGTGCACGCGCACGCACATGTACAGTTCAGGCCCTTTGCTGCCAAATCCACACAGACAGGTGAGATAGTGAAGCTGGACACCACTCTTGACACGACGCTTGCCTTGTATGATCTAGCACATTTGTCGCTTGTCGCGTTGCGCATTAATGCGGCACAGTATCTTCTTTCCATCTTGCAGTTGAGGCATTGTCTCTGCCCTGGAAACTTCCAGGCAAAGAGCCGGACCAAATTCTAGCATCCAAGCTGTCAAAGGCGCTGCCCATGTTCAATCTTGGTATCTTTCCCTGAGCGTCCGGCTATCAACCGAGAAAGAAGCACAGAGCCAAACTATGCCAGTAGTCATCCCCTTTATCCACATATGCCGGGAGTAGTGCCATCGGCCCCCTTTTTGTGCACGGTTCTCCAGTTTCCCTTGTCCCGTTCTTCCGCATTTTCCATTTTCCGTCGGCTCTGGATCCCACGTCGCTAGGAGGGCCTGTGCTTGCTGCAGCGCCAAGTGCGCAGAGTGCACGGAGGCGGGGACCCGTAACGAGGCCATGGAAGATTGCAGTTAGTCATCGTAGTTCAGCAGCCAGTTGATCAATCATATTCAACTGATCAGTTGCTCAAGATTAATCAGCCTGTTTACCATTCAACTGATCAACGACGAGTTTAGTTCATTAACCAGTTCATATTCAACTTGATGACCAAACTTTTTGAAAAGGGCAACAACAAATGAGAACGAAGGCACCAAGTCGGGGGTTTGTTCGATTTGGATTGTAGCAGCTAGCGCCCCCTCGGTGCCTGGTGATTTCGGGCCGTCCCTGCACATTTTAGCATACATGGCAATCCTTTCGGCCCTGCGCGCACACCCGCCACATCAGAACACGCCGTCAACTAGTCAACTAGCACACATGGCACATGACAACATGCTGCTCAACTGGCATGCCACAGGATAAGCACACGGTCGGCTTGTCTTGTTTGCTTCCACAGCCCTCCGGCAAATGCCGCGATGTGAAGCGCGCTTGATTCTTCCAAGGTATCGAGGGTCCGGGAAGCTTGTAAGGCCTGGAACCGGTAGGGCTCGTGTTTGTACCCAGCTGGGTCGCGTTTACCTGGTTTGACATTCTGGTGCGGCCTGATCTGAGCCTTGATGCTTCTGGCGGAGAAGTCAGGAGGTTTTGGGAGGGGATCAAATCGGAGTATGATATGGTTTTGCAGATTGAGACAACATCCAATTCGCACCAGTTGGGATGGTTGAAGCCCTACGCACGTGTTGACCTATATATATACATACATAATATGATGAGTTTCAGCATTTTCACCATGTGCAGCAAACATGGTTGAAGCCTCCATTCAGGGGCGAAAGTGAGGACTGTACAACCGTAAGATTAAGCACAGCAGCCGCCCTTTTGAGTCTTACATGGTTTTTGGTGGTACCCTTTAGCACGAGTGGCACCACAAGCAAAATGCGGTGAGGCTCTTGGACAGATGAGCCGCAGTCGGACTGGCTAGATGAAGGTTAGTAGGGCATCTCCGCCCCAACCATACATGGGTGCAGACTTCTTTGATTGCTCACATTGCACATACATTGGGAATATATAGACCGCTTTGATATATTTTTATATCCTTATGCACATGTGTTTTTACACGTCGACCCTTTCAATACCCAGATTTGTTTGGGTTATGTATCGACCCCTTTCCACCCAGATGCTGGCAGGCTGTGATCCCTCTGAGTCCTTCGAAGGAGCAGAGCCGCCAAAGGAGGCGGGGGCTCCGGGCTGCACATGTGAGAGTCAACACCCGAAGTGAAGGTTAGCAAGGGACGGATCTCCACCCTTTTCATTCTTTACACGGTGTTGGGCTTGGAGCATCTCGATGCCACGTTTTTGGACGATTGTGATTCATGTGAGGTCTGGACCCGACCCCCCGCATTAGTGTTAGTGTTAGTGTGAGTGTTAGTGTGTGTTGGGGTGCTCTCTTCCAAGGCTTAGCAATACGGTTGACAACATATTTGGCGTATTCTGATTGATTTTATGCTGGGCGCGTTTCAAGGGGCCGGCTGTTCGGGGAGTGGAAAGGGGCTGGACGTGGAGAAAGATTTGACACGGGGAGAAAGTGGCAAGGCTTTCTCTTCGTTCCTCCATGCTTTTCCAGGTTTTATCAAGTAGATGTAGGCAACAGTGCTGCAACACACACATCCACAAGGAAGTTTTCAAGGTGCCACTGCCAGATTGGCCAGCAAGCAGTAGGGTTTCTTGAAGCGACCTTGAACGAAATTCGATCACCTTTTGGTTGCCATTCTTGGAATGAGCTTCCTTCGGGTGATGTTAAAACAGGGCATACGAGGAACGCTGTGTGGCGCTGGGGCACCTAAAGGTGTAGCGTCCAGGAAAGTGTGGGATAAATATTGTAGGTGTCCAACATTGGGAACTTCCCAAGAATGGCCTCCTGCGTTGTTGGGTCTCCGTTTTCGAAGATGGGGTTTTGCTCTTGTTGGGTTTGTCGGCTTCCTTTTCCCAACTCGGAGTTTCGGTTTCCTTCCTATTCAGCTCGACCAAAAGGCGGCTCGCCTTGACCCGAATCCGTCCGAGGGCGTGGCCAAAGTGCTTCAGAAGATCCCGGAGGGAAGCGCCAACCCCTGGCACACCTCGATTTGCAGCCGCACCCGACGCATCTTGGACCCGGGTTTTTGCTCGCGGCTCGCCTTTGCTCGTGCCCGACGCCCGAGTTTCTTCTTTTGCCGCTCGATTTCAGCGAAATGAGGCAGGAGAGCAACCCAGACACCCGGTTGCTTGCTTCTGTTTTTGATACATAGATATATATTTAAGGGTGGGGAGGATGGGGTGGGTGGGCAGGAATTCCTCTTCAGCTCCGATGCCAAACAAAGAAGGGGCACAGATTCCCTTAGAGATGCACTACCCAAACAAAGGCGCCCTGTTTTGCCATGGCCACTATGGAGGTTTCGCTGAAAGCGAACAGCTCTGGAAGCTATGGACTTGAAAGCTTGGCACGAAAAGAACAAAGGGGGGGCGAGGAATAACAAGGGTTGGGGTGCTTTAAGCCCCAACTTGCGTGATAGGGAAAGGTGTGGAATTACCCCCACTTGTCCAATTCAGTCGACATTGCGGGGCCCTGGTTTGAAGCAAAGCACCAAGCCTTGCCATGAGAGGCGCGCGAGATGACAGACAAGCGAACCTTTGCATCGCCCTCAACAAATCAACGGGTTTGAATACGTTTCTGCACAGTGTCAAAGTCAAGGAAATATCCACACGGCTGATTTCGTTTTGGCGTTCTTTTTCGAAACGCGGCTTGTTCCCCAAAACTTGGAAAAATATTCTATTGCGGGGCGGGAGGCAGAATAGCAAAGTGTCCTGGACTGCAGCAGATGAACAAAGTCTTCAAAGCCCAGACCTAAGGGTTTGAATACTTCGTCCATTTAAGGGGGAGGTTCCGTTTGAAAAAGAACCAACAGAGGGGTCATGCTCCACTTTCGGGGCGGTTCGCGAGGACCACCTGGAGGCTGCTGTGGGCCTGCAGGAGACGGAACTCGGTCAGCTCGGTTCGTGGATGCATTTTGGGAAGTTTTCAAAAACAGATTGGGACGGCGGGCCCCACCCCAAAGAAAATAAGCTCAGGTGATATCCCCAACAGCATGGAACCCTCGTGGAACCCTCGTGGAACCTTACCTCAGGGCCGCCCCGGACCACCCCGGAGCCTATCTGGGCTGAGACCCCAAGGCTTTCAGTTGGGGAATTAAAATAACTAGAAATAGAATAGACAAAACCCCGAACATTATTTTGAGGATGCCACCTGAATTGACCCAGTTCGGCATCCAGGAGCAGGTTTGAACCCGAGCCATTTTGGTTTCCCCTGCAAGGAAGGAAAAGCCAACCTTTGTTGCTGTGAGAAATCCGCAGGGTATCAATTTTGCCCAACCCTCTTTGCCGATATTGGAAGAAACCACCAAACAACGACCTTTAAAGCAACGGAGGGTTTCGCCCCGAAGATCTTGACACGGTGAGCATTCTGCGGTCCTCTTGCAGCCTTCGGAGACTCAAGCCTACCCCAGGAATTCAGACATGTCAAGCGTGGGCCCTCTCAATTCCACTCAGCTTCCTCCAGCTCATCTCCCTCATCAATTTAAAGGTTTCAACAGTTATGGACTCAACTCCACAGAAGTGATGTTCAGAGGCCAGCAGCCGAAGTAGGTGCCCCCCTTTTTTAGCGCCAGCCCCCCGCGCTCGCAGGAGGAGACATGCGCTGCTTGGGGCAAGAAGCCGGAGTCGGTGCTCAGCTTCGGGTGCTCCGTGGGCATCGAGCTGGAGGATCGATGGGGGGAGTGGGAGTTCCATGTAGAGTGAATCAGGAGCAAGATGGAACCAAAAGCCCGTGTTTTATTTTTTGGTTCTTGCCTTTGCTTTCAATCAGCTCCTGTGGACTCCGAATTTTGTTTTGTAAGCGGACCAAGCGCAAAACGGTTCGGGAAGTCGCCATGCTTCGGGATCCTGAAACAAAGGGGCAGCGCTCTGCGCGGTTTTTGTTAAGGGATCAACGCATCCCCCAGCACTCCGAGACTCCGAGGGCGGGTTTCTGGGAGAAAGGAATCACCATGAATCACCACTAGCACAACGGGACCTGATCAAGAGCTGGGAGAAGATTCACAGGTCAACATCAGACTGGCAAGCTCGAGCCCAGGTCGACAACCAAAGCTTTTGTGCCCCTTTCCCGCTTCCTTTCGGTGGCTGTTTTCTTTTCAGACCCGCCTTCCAAATGACAACCTTGGTCATATTGAAGCGCCCCGCCCTTGTTTGGAGTTGCCGTAGACGGCCAGACAAAGCAGAGTGCAAGTGAGGGAACCCCTGTTTGGATGCTTAGAAGCATTTCAAACAAAGAACACCAACCAGTTTTGAGAGTCCCTGCTTTGTTGAAACACCCACCTGAACACCAATGCCCCTGATCATTGCTAAACTTTTGGCTCGCAAAGGGAAGGTGCGCTGCGAAAGGAGAACGAGGGCATGTTTTTCCAGATTGGCCTGAAACATGCTACATTTGCGTCACTTTTAAGAATCACTAGCTGATTTTGGCACGGATCCGAATCCTTGTCAAGAAGGTGGTTGTTGGATTCAGGCACCGCAAGAAACCAGTCCCGCGGGCAGACAAGCCCCTCGTGCCCCTCGTGGTGTCGTTTTGAGGTGATGCTTACCAGCAAACTACCAAGACTAGGTCCCCCAGTAGTGCCCTTTTACCCTTTGTTGGGGAGGGTTCCCCTACTAAAATAGACTACGGGAAAAAAGGGTTAACGTCTCTGCTGGAGGACCTAGCAGCGAAACTCAAACCCACCTTGGGTCAAAAGCCTATGTGTTGAAACCCGCAAAGCAGAGCTTTAGGGATCCCGATCCCTACCAGCAAGCAAGGACATACCCTTTGAAGGGAAACTCACATGCCAAAAGGTTTACCTGTTCAAGGAAATACCCCAAGGATAGGGGCCTTTTGGGGATGTCTAAAAAAGCTACCAAAGCCCGAAAAAGATGGCTATGAGTGTTAGTGTGGATTTCCCTCCCAAATGGTTGGGTGGACATGCCCTCCTGTCCACCAACATGGAGCCTGACTGCGGGGTCTTGGACCATTCTTCTTTCACCTGAACCTTTTGGTGGGTTCCATGTTGGACAGGGACATTTTTCACCTCATATGTCGGGACCCGAGGGAGCCGAAGACCCACAGACCCCCCCCGCTGGCTTCGCAGGAGGCGCTTCATCGCTTCCCGGGCGCTCGGGTGATGGGCTATGACCTGGACAGCGGGGTGGTGGAGAAGGCGAAGAAGCGGTTGAAGAGCCGCGCCCAGGTGGTGAGTGCCGCTTGATTTGCGGATGGCTTGGATTGCTTGGAATTGGGTTGGCCCCACATAGTCTTGGGTTTATATATATATATATAGCACAATATATATATATATATAGATACATACATACAATATACATAAAATACATACATTTTGTCCATACATATATATATATATATAAGACATGCACTTTGTCCACTATTCAGGTTTCAACAGTCAACCATCGAGTGGCGCAACGGCCAACTCCAATTTTCCACGGGCAGTCACAAAAGGTCGCGCAGTTCGCAAGTCTGTGGGCCACTCAAGTCTCGTCAACGGTTCTTGCTTTCAGTTTCCCTGGGATTTGGTCTCGGATTTGGCAGAGATCAGCTTGGGCGTTGGGTTTCTTCGGAAATGGGATTGACATGGGTTGGTCTTCGTGGGAGCCGGACCTCAAACAAAATGCCGAGTTTCCCGTTGGCTTCCCCGGCGTCCCCGAGCCAAACCCTCATATGACCACCAAGCGAAGAAAGGACAGCTTCGTTTTCGGGTTTCTCCAAATGGTCCAGCACTTGGTGGGTGAAATGGAAGCCACAGCCACAGGACATCCATTCTCAGCACAAATTCCTAGGTTCCCTTCAATACCCCTCAGGAAGGCCGCGCCATGGTCGCGAGTCCCTCAATTTTCTCATTTTTGAGCAAGACCAATACCCCAAAGAAGGTAGCAATTCGTTCCCCGCACGTGTCCACTATACGACCCCCCCGCACCCCCACCCCCAATTTTTGGGGTGATTTATTTATGCCTCCTTTCCATGGCCCTTCTTGAGGATTACGGTCAGTTGCCGGCGGAGGGCTTCGACCTGGTTCTGGCGAGCCTTGGATCGATCGCGCCGATTTGGCTTTCTTTTTTTCAACTGTAGGCGACTTCGTTTCCGTGTGGTCTCACTTGGAGGGTTTGCGTGTGGACCAACCACTATATTTTGAGTTTTCGTCTTTGTGTTTGTGCTTGAGGCGTTCAGGCGATTTGGATGAATGTGAACATGGGGCTGAAGGATCTACTTCCAAAGACAGACGGCCGAAGGGTTTTGGAAGACCCGCCTGATCCCTAAGCAGCCGAGAAAGATCTCATGGACCCTTGAAAGGGAGTCTGGACCGTAGGTTTGCCCAGAAAACCACCCGAGCCTTGACCCGCAGGAATTTCGAGGGCGAAGTCGAGCGTACTTAGAACAAAGACACCCCCCAACCAAAATCTGGCCACAAGCCTACGGGTTCCTCCAGGAACAACCTCCTGTACAACGGCATGCCGGAGGGGCAATTTCAGAGGCTGAATGGTGCCACGGTGAGGTTCAGTCAAAACTGATTGAACCACCTCAATACATAGTGATTCCCCACCTACATGATGTCAGGATCCCTAATCAAATTTCATGCACATTTGTTGATGGTCCATTTGGGAGGAACGAGAGGGAGGACGCGCTGTCAATTTCCCACAACCGGGGACAAATGTCCCACGGTCATTTTTTGGGAACCACATTTTTCGACCTGGCTCATAAATGAATACATATATATATATATATATACATATATATATATATATGGTGCCCCTGCTGGAATACTCAGGTTTTGGCCGGAAACTGACGTTTTGGCTGTAAACATGCATGCGAACACACACGTTCCAGCTTCTAAAATGAGGCTCTAAAAATGCACTCCTTTTTAGACTTAAATTCTAGCATCGGTGCTTAGTGCAACCCAGGATGTGCTAGCGCGTGCTAGCACATCCTGGATTGAAGATTGAAGATTGAGGATTCTCAGACCACTTCTGGACATCTTTAATCCATCCTTAGGACAAACTGATATGTGCTAGCACGTGCTAGCACATCCTGGATTGAAGATTGAAGATTGAAGATTCTCTGACAACTCTCTCTGGGATTCTTCAATCTTCAATCCAGGATGTGCTAGCACGTGCTAGTACATATCAGTTTGTCCTAAGGATGGATTGAAGATTTCCAGAACAAGTATTGAAGATTGAAGATTCTCTGACAACTCTTTCTGAAATTCTCCAAATATGTATTTAGGGCAATCCAGGATGTGCTAGCACGTGCTAGCACATCCTGGATTGAAGATTGAAGATTCAAGATTCTCAGACCTGGATTGCCCTAAGTGCGGATTTGAAGAATCCCAAAGGCAGACCGGGAGTGCACGTTGTCAGAATCAAATTGTGGATGTGCACTTGCGCTGCCTGCATTTGGCCAGGGGGGGAAAATGTTGTTGACACCTTCACAGGGTTTTTGCGGACTTGAGGGCTGGCCAGGATGGAAGGTTCTCAAATAGAAAATCTGGTAAATCTTCAATCTAATGAGTCCAGAACAAACTGTCAAGTTTTTGGGGGACCAGGATTGAGGATGTTCTAAAGATATGTTTGTGGAATCTTGTATATTCGATCTTCGATCCAGGGCAACACGATCTGAGCAAATGCTGAAAAGCACTGCGTTTTACCGCATTTATGCCAATAATAAGATCTATGATTGAAAATACGTTCCTGTCATTGGCTTGGCTCAGTTTTTGCTCAGTTCAAACCACACGGAGTTCGATAAGGACAATAACCCTTTCAAAATTGAGTTTGAGTCCCAATTCATTTGGCCATGACAATAGCTATCTTCTCCAGTTGATTTTTGAAATGCACAATAAATTGCAAACGAGTAAACTTGAGTTTGGTTTGAACTCGAAAGCGTTTGAAACTGGATATCCTTCCCTTACTTTGTATTTCAATAGTTGTTATTGGCGATGAGTGAACCAACTTAAACAAGCAACACACACACATAGTTGCTTTGCAACATATGTTTCAAATAGACTGAACTAGCATGTACATGGAGTTGTGCGCAACACTCGAGTTAACATGTAAATGCAACTGCGCAAGGACATGAAGTAGGATTGAATTCCTTTTCCCCAAGTTGATGATTTGCTGACTTTCGCTGCCAAAAATCATAAGCACAAAATAGTAGAGCTGCTACAGGCGCGTTGAATCTTCCAAAACATACTTCGCGCACTACTCTTGTACTGCACAGTTGTGCTTTTTCAGCTGGAGCTGCCAAAGTGCACTTTGTATACTCCAATGTAGCTTCAAGTGCACTTCGCGCACGCCAGTCTGACAGTCACACAACTCGCAACCCCTATTCAACGTTGAGCTAAACTTCTGCTTGAGTTCACTTCAGAGTCTCAAGGTATTTGTCGCCCCCACTCTGGCCAAAAACCTCAGTTCTGGCCAACAACCTGAGTATTGCAAGGGGGGGTAGCATATACATATATATAAACATATATGCATAGAGTTTGTTTGTTTGTTTGTTTGTTTGTTTGCTTGCTTGCTTGCTTGCTTGCTTGTTGGTTGGCTGTTTTGGTTTTGTTTTTGTCTGTTTGTCTGTATGTATGTATGTACTGTAGTCTGTTGTATTATTTTGCTTGCTTGTTTGCGTGGTCTGTTTGTTTTGTTTGTTTTGATTGTTTTTTTTGTTTTTTTTTTTAATGTTTGTTTGTTTTGTTGATTTGTTTGTTTGTTTGTTTGTTTATTTGTTTGTTTGCTCGTTTGCTTGTCTGCGTGTTTGCTTGTTTGTTTGCTTGCTTGCTTGCTTGCTTGCTTGCTCTTGCTTGCTTGCTTGTCAGTTGGTTGTTTTGTTTGCTTGCTGTTTGTTTGTTTGTTTTTTTGTTTGTTTGTTTGTTTGGTTCGTGTGAATTTGAAACTCGCTTGGTGTTCTTCAATATCACTTGCAGCAACTAATAAGAGGCCATGGCAGGAATGTGACATCCACAATGTAGGCCACATGCCAGTGGTTGAGGAGATTCGCACAGTTTGGGGCAACATCTGCTGCAATCCAATCCCAATCTGCACTACTCCCTGATTTGGCTACCTTGAAAAATGAAACCCAGTGGCTTGATTCCTTTTCTTTGATTGCGCCAGACAATTTGTTTTGCAGGACACCAACCCAGAAAACACATTCGGAAGGGTTCCCCCACCAAAAAGCAAACAGAACAAAGGGAAATCGGTCCAATCAACAGGACCCCTTCGAAACCAAGCAATCCAAACAAATTAAACAAACCAAACAAACCAAACAAGCCAAACACACCAAACAAACAAAGCAAACCAAACCAACCAAGCCATGCAAAACTATGGCAAACACCATGCAAAACCCGCAGAAACGACCCCCCAACCTGTTTTCCCGGTGGCAACGTTGCCAGGCTCTTGGAGCAGCTGTTGCAGCTGCTGCGGCCAGGTGCGTGGCCCAAGTTCCCGGGCTCGCCGCAGCGAAGTCGACGTCGCGCGGGATCGATTTTCGGAGCCCAGAAGCTCGGTGTCAGTGTGGAGAAAATGGCAGGGCTGTGGGTGGGGCCTTCTTCCACTATGAAGGTTCGTGACTGGTTGATCAGCCACCTGACGGTGCGCAGTGGGTTTCGTGGAGATGTTTCAGAAAGGACCCCCAGCTGGTGGAACGCTCTCCAGCTTCGCTCAACGGAAACAATCCAGAATGGGAAGCCAAGAGGAAAAGCGTTTGATCAGTTCGACTGTCCGGGTGGTAAACAAAAAACAGATTGAAGCCCTGCCCGGTTGCCCTGCGTGCGGTTGGTCACTTGCAACTTTTCGATGTCTTTTCGATGGTACTCTTTGTTTCACTGGGTTGATTGAAATGGAGCCCGAACGGACATCATGCATAGTTTGCCAGGGTGGTTGTGGTGGTGCTGGTGGTGGTGGTGGTGGTGGTGGTGGTGGTGGTGGTGGTGGTGTTGGTGGTGGTGGTGGTTTCGGTGGCGGTGGCGGTGGCGGTGTTGTTGGTGGTGGTGGTGGTGGTGGTGGTGGTGCGGCGCGAAGGTTTTCAGGGAATCTACTTTGGCCCGAAAACCCGCGTTTGATGCTGAGAAGCTCCTTCCGTCAATGGTTTTGGGTTTCAATATCAAACCGGTAAGTTGTCCATTTAAGCCCCTGGGTCAAGTTCCCCTTAATTGGTGGTTTGGATTCGCATTTGCACGCCTGGTTCTTGCTCCAATCCAACCCACCGATTCGGCTCGAGCAAACGAGGGCTTCTCTGAATGGCTTGTTTTGGGTTTGGCAGGTGGCATCCTGGAGCTCATGGTTTACAGCCAGCGCGTGAAGCCGCCCAGCTCCTGCCTGTGGTGTGAGGTGCGATCGCGCGCGCCCTCGCCGATGGTTCTTGGGCTGTTTGGGCTTTTGGGTTATTTCACAGGGAAACCGCCACCCGCTTAGAAAGTGCGGTTCTTTGGCCGTTTTTTTTTGGGGGTTTCACAGGAAAACAGAAAACCCCCTTTGAAAGTGCGGAAAGTGCGGAACCGTTTCGTTTTTCAACCTGGTGGCCTTTTTTTCGTTAGCGCACCTAGCTAATTTGTTTCGTAGCTTCGAACACAAGCATTCAGTGGCACCCAAAGAAAAGGATCTGCCGAGTTTGGTTCAAAAGCGCCTTCTCTTTGGTTTTTGGTTGAACAAATCTCTATAACAAAGTGTCCAGTTGGGTTTTGTTTAAGCCACACCTGGAAAACAAACCACTCTTATGGATATTTGGTCAACTAAACTTGCGACAACCCCTCCGTGTTTGCTTGCACAAATCTGTACGATCTCTCCTGTTGGGCATTTGTTTGAACACCTGTGAACACCCCTCCTTTTCTTTTGTTGGGTTTTTGTTTAAGCAAACCTGTCAACCCCCAAACGTTGCTCTCAAACGTCGCGAGTCGCGAGCGCCAGGGCTTCCAGTTCAACTCCTCCATGGCTTGGCAGGTCATCCGCCACTGCTCCAAAGGAGGGTACTTGGCCGTTTTCTGTGAAGCGTTTCTCAGGTAACCCCTAGTCGGTGGTTTGGGATTTGAACCCTGGTTCTTGTAGAGGGTAAATGGGAAACTGAACCACCACACCACCAATCCACACCACCAATTGGAGGGAAGTTGATTTTGGTGTTCCAAAAAGGGTCGCAGTAAAACACAGAAGACGCCCATGGCCCGCACTTTTCTTCTTCTTCTTTTTTCGTTTTTCGGGGGGATGTTCAGATGTTCAACTGGATGGGCCTCAGTGGGCAAGGGCCTCCCATGTTCAGATCTTCAACGGGGTGACGTTTCCCCCTCCCCTCTGTTCGGAAGGCTTCAAGGTCCCGGGCCCCCAGTTCCCCTTCACCGCCCGGTTCCTCGCTGTCCCACCACCCCTTCCGCCGCCAACTTTCTCGAGCCGAGCCATGTCCCCCAAATTCCGGGAGCCCTGACACCGCCCTTTCCCTCAACCAAACCCCTGAACCCCCCCCACCCCGGGCCCCACCCCGGGCAGAGCCGAACACCAACGAGCCTCGCTGACTGAGGCGAGCGCTTCGCCTCGGAGCGGCCTCCAGAGCGGAGCTGTGGCCTGGTGACGGTGCCCTCCGTGCAGGGCTCCACGCTCTTCGCCCCTCGAAACGAACGCGCACGCGACTCTCTCGGTTTTGTTCGGCTGGGCGGTGCTTCTTTTTTTTCTCCCCCCCCGTTTGGGGACATGGGTGGGTTGAAAGGGAGAACGAAAGGGACTTGCATTTGTTCGAGAGGTTCCATTTTCTGGTATCATTTCGGAATCTACACTCTGAGGGCAAAAGGAGGGGACCCATCGGGGGGATTTTAAGGAAGCCACCTAGGGGAGTCCCCGCACGAGTCGCACACTTCCCTGAATTTTTGAGGGTGAAAGGAGGATACCCATTTTCCTGGGATGGACATGTTTACACGTAATGCTCTCCCGAATGATTGGTGGACAGCTTATGAGTTGGTGCAGGTGTGGTTTACCTCCATGAGTGCGTCCGTTGTGAGGGTACCCATTTCGGGGTAGCGTTTGAACATGGAATTCAAGGAAAACGGGTAGAAGGAGGGTACCCATTCTGCGGGTGTCATTTTGGGGTGCCTTTTCCATGCCCTCCAAAAACCGATGGTGACATGATGTCCACCAACGGTAAAACACTCTTTCAATGAGCATGGAAGCCAAGCACATGGAGCGGATGACCTCTGGCGCCTTTGTTGAGGGTGCTCACCAAGGGATTGGGGAAACATGTTGCCGACCGAACTGGGATTGGCCCAAGGGTGTGGACAGACCGCTCTGAGCTCATCCCTTGTTTCTAAACTTCTACTCCACTTGCTCAGGTTGAACATAAAGGAACTCGGCAACTTATCCCTCATGCTGCGGAAGGGCTCTAGCATATTTGCATGGCGCCCCAGGTCTACCGTCGTCCCTCTGCGTGAGTTGCTGACTCTTTGGCCCGATTCAGAGAGAAGCGGCTTTGCTCGTGCGCGTGAGAGAAAGCGGGCGCGAACGCGTGTGTGCGTGAGCAAGGCAGCTTTTTGTAGGACTCAAGTTTGGACAACTGTCAAGCGGAAGCTTTTGCCTCAAGTTCAAACCCGTTGGTCTCTCATATTTGACGTGTTCTCGAGGCGTTTTCCCAACTCGAAAGATCGTAAAGGGGTGAAAGACACAGCAAGAATCATTTGGGTTGTCCCAACATGGCCTGCCCAACATGTGTCTTTTCCTTCAGGCTTCCTTTTAAAGCCAACCCCACAAAGGGTCCCCTTTCAACAAAACACACACACACACACACACACACACACACACACACACACACACACACACACACACACACACACACACACACACACACACACACACACACACACACACACACACACACACACACACACACACACACACACACACACACACACACACACACACACACACACACACACACACACACACACACACACACACACACACACACACACACACACACACACACACACACACACACACACACACACACACACACACACACACACACACACACACACACACACACACACACACACACACACACACACACACACACACACACACACACACACACACACACACACACACACACACACACACACACACACATACACACACACACACACACACACACACACACACACACACACACACACACACACACACACACACACACACACACACACACACACACACACACACACACACACACACACACACACACACACACACACACCACACACACACACACACACACACACACACACACACCACACACACACACACACACACACACACACACACACACACACACACACACAACACACACAACACACACACACACACACACACACAACACACACAACACACACACACACACAACACACACACACACACACACACACACACACACACACACACACACACACACACACACACACACACACACACACACACACACACAACACACACACACACACACACACACACACACACACACACACACACACACACACACACACACACACACACACACACACACACACACACCACACACACGCACACACACACACACACACACACACACACACACACACACACACACACACACACACACACACACACACACACACACACACACACACACACACACACACACACACACACACACACACACACACACACTATATCTCGAGAGGCTTCACTAGCCGAGATGAAAAATGCAGTCAGTAAAATGCTTGAATGCAAATGCAAATCAACAGGTCACAACATCGACACCGAACAGGAAGCAACAGCGACAAACAGAAACCGCAAAAGGAATCAGGAAAGAGGGTCAGGAAATAGGCAGGTACGCCGGATTGATCAGATCCGGTATCCACCGAAATGCCGTAGCTTCATTGGACTGGATAGGCAAATCGGCTCCAGTCCCCCTGCAATGTGGAATTTCCGTCCGTGCTCCAGGACGCTTCACACACACGGAGCCCCAACTGGGGCGACATCACTTGTGCAAGGCCCATTGAGTCTTGCAAGCATCAATTGTGCGAGAAAGTCTTGTGGCGATGACTGACCACACATACTTGGCTTTGGAATTGGTCTTAAGGGAACGGAGGAGTTCAATCTCTCCCTCAGTCCAAGGCTGCGAGGCTTCAGGTTCGGCCTCAGTAGAGGCATCAGTCCTGGTCGATGTGGTAGCTTCGCTTGGTCCACGAGCAGGTTTTGGATGCCGAGATCGTGAGGAGGCCAAATCACGTGCGCGGCGAGCTCGTTTTTCGCCGGGAGAAGACGGAGGAGGGGTGGGCGGAGCCCAATGATCAGGGAATTGTTCGTCATGATCAGTGGGAAGGTGTTCATCTGGAGCATCAGGAGGTGGCTCAAAGAGGTCCTCGAGGGGGGCCAGGAGGGGTGTTGGTGGTGAGTTGGTCAGGTCCTCAATGGCGGGGTTGAGCGTGGCCTCCGGTGCCAAATCAGGTTCGGCAGGCGGACTCTCAGGGAACTCGCGGATGGTGGCGATGCCTTGTTGGGCAATGCCAAGGATGAGTTCGAAGTCTTGGAGCAGCTGGCGTGCTGTGTTGGTATCCATGCTCGTAACGGATTTTGGTCAAACAGTCAAACAGCTGCGGCGCGAAAATCAGGTCAAATCTGTCAGGATGCAAAGGCAGAGAAGAAAACCAGTGTGGTTCCGCAAAGGACGGTTTTTCTTCTCTTTGTAAGGTGAAACCGTGTTGGAGGTGCAACCTCTTCAACATTGCAAGACCCTGACCTCGCTGAAACTCAGGAAAGGAAACTCGGTTGATCAGCGTGCGTCCGGAATAACATCCAGATTCCTTATGCATCAGTGGTGCGGCTGACTTGACGGAGAGCATGTTGTGCTTCTCATGCGAGGGGATGAAGGAGATGGTGCTGCTTGTGAGGTTCAGTCGGAACCCCAAGAAGTCCAGGGCGGCTTCTGTGTCCAGGAAGATGTCTCCTCCATAGAAGTGTTCGTCGCACAGTATGTTGGCTGCCGGAGTCGAGAGCCACCTGGGGGTTGCGATCACGAGTCTGTTGTCCACGTAGCGGAGCAGGAGAGTATCTTCAACGGAGCGAAGTCCCGATGTGATGTGAGTGTTGGTCCAACATTGTTCGGCGACCGCGATCACCATCAAACAGAGAGCTGGGGACGCGGGGGATCCCATCGGTGCCCCACGTGTTTGCCTGAATGAACGAAGGCCGACAGAGAAGATCTGCATGTCAAGGGTGGCCTGAATGATCTCGGGGATGTCGTCGAGCCACAGGGTGCGTTGTGTGGGTTTGTGTCGGCGACGGCGTCCGTTGTAGACGCGGGTGATGGCAGAGGTGTCAAGTGTGTCCACTGTGAGGTGTGTGGTAGAGGAGTGTGGTTGTCGTTGTCGGTACCAGGTTAGCAGTAGTCGCCAGGCGAGGAAGGGTGCAAGCATCGGTCTCGAGGGGCCAGGTGGAATGAGGCCCCGGAATTGTAAACTGGATCGAATGGCGGAAAGGCATGCCTGGTGGTGTGGTTCAGGCAGGTGTGTGGCTATGCGATGAAGGACATAGAGAGCGGCGGGTGGGAAGTCTCTGGTCCGTATGTAACGGATGGCATCAAATCGTCGTAGAGTGTTGCTGCCAAGATCGCCCAAAAATCGCTACAAATCCAGGCGGTTGTCCACGCGTTTGGCCAGGAAGGCCTGTTGTAGGGCGATGGGTAGTCGTAGTCGGCGGCGTTTTCGCCAGATGGTGGCGAAGCCCATGTGCCGGGATTGGGAGAAGTCCAATTGGCGTATGAAGCCCGTGCGTGGCCGGAAATGTTTCTCGATGAAGCCAAAATTGAGAGACGGTTGCAGTTCCTGGATGTAGAACTGTTCAGTGGCAAATAGGTCCGTTGCCGGAACGACAGTGTGAATGGGCACCGAGGTGTAGTGGTGGAAAAAGTCGAAATGTGCCCACCACCGGACTGCCAGTTCGGCATTGACCAGATGATGTCGCTGAACTTGGAGTAGTTTGCGAAGTTGGCTGCGGCCCCGTGCCATGAGGGAGGCGCGAGTGGCTCCGAGGTAGAAAAAGGCCTGCCACTTTGGATGGCTGGTGAATCTCAGATAAACCGCTGAAGGGACAAGCTGAGAAGAGAAATCGGAAGCAGGGTTGTCCAGGCCAAGTCGAGTAAGCAGGGCTTTCAGTCTGCCACAGGAGAGATGGCAGACGTCAAGTAGCTGAAGCTGTGCGAGTAGCCAGGAGCAAGAATGACGTGCGGTGACGTCATCGGTTGGGAAGAACCGAAGAGTGAAACGGAGGACAGTGAGAAGTTGGCAGCAGTGGTGTTGCCAAAATTTGTGCTGCCTGGCTGTGCGTCGTTGTCGGTGTGCTGTTGAGAGTCACTGGTAGAAGTGACTCGCAGCGGCCAGGATGCGGCCCAAGGCCGATGACCCCAGTTTTGATAGGGTTCGCACCGGGATGCCCCATAGCACAGCGGCTCGTTCGAGTTGGGCTCTGGTGTCGGAGTCCAGTGTGGTTGCCCATTTTGCGCAGTCGTTGGACCAGCTTTTTAGGACATGCTTGCTCTCTTTGCTGGTTTTCTGAGAGGTGATCCATCGCTGGACTTTGGTGTCGGAAATGTCGGGTGGGAAGTTGCTGGTGAGCCATTGGCAAACGTGGGGAGGTGGTTGGAGCAAGTCGCGGGGCTCCTTCCAAGTGGGTGGGGAGGGGAGGGGGGGAGGGGTCGGGGTGCCGCCGTGGGTGGAGGGGGCTGGAGGGTTGCCGCCGTGGGTGGGGGGAGCCGGGGGGGGTTGGGAGTCGTCTGCAATGCGAGTGGGCAGGGGTAGAGCGGGGGATCCGTCCTGCGGTGATGTGTCAGGTGTAGTCAACCGTGGTCGCTTTATGCCGAAGTCCAGGAGGGAGGCCTGAGATGGACGGGGGGAGGGGGGGGAAAGGGGTTGCCGCCGGGAGGGGGGGGGAGAGAGCCGCCAAAGGAGGGTGGACGAGGGCCGGGGTGTGGTGGGTAACGGGGAATAGGTTGGCCGTAGGTCTGACAGGGAGTCGGATGTGTAGCTGGCGGTGCCGATGCCGTGGAAGAGCATCCGTAGGAAGGCCCGGACAGGGCCCCGCACGGGTTCCCGGCCATGTTGTTGCCGTACACGATGCCATGATGATGGGATGCCGTGGGCGAAGGCTGCGGTGGTAAGTTTTGCCTTTGGAGCGCCGTAACCAAACCTCGAGGGGGTTGGAAAGCCATGAGAAAACACGGGGGAAAAGGAAATGTTCGAACCACAAGCTGGTGAGCGGAATCAAGCGGGTAAGGTCACAAGGTGAGAGAACGGTCGCGGAAAGGCAGAACAGCAAAGCAAAGAAAAAAGGCGATCAAACAGTGCACCAATTCTTTTCCTGGTTGGGTGGAAGATGGTACAGTTGCGCCCCGCTAAGC